GGCGCAGGATAGAGCAGGGTTTAGGGCTGTTGTGCATAGGGTCGCTATGAGTTGCAAACGACTCGACAGCACATAACAACAACAACAACAACAACTATCTTTAATATTACTAAAGTATTATTTCTCTATCACCTCTATTATTGTAAAGAATAGCTGTTCCTAAGGAATCTGATGAAATGCACTTAATGAAACTATGTTTGTTGGTTTTTTCAAATAGTAATGCTATAGAGCTTGTAATACATTTCTAACTTACCCAAGTCATAAATTATAATTCTGACATATTTTATTTCCAAATTTAGATTGTAGTAATGCTTAAGATAGCGCACCATACCCAATATATAATGAACATATTTTCCATAGACTGTATCAACCAAGGCTAAGAAATAAGTGAGTAAAATCACAAAACACTATGTCCATGAGGATATCTCAATCTAGATTTTCAATTTTCTTTAAAATAATGACGTTTTTAAAAGTAAGGAAAAGAAATAAAAGAACACTGAAAACCTATAAAGTGTTTGTCCTTAGCAAGATTTACAGTGAGAGGAATGATAGTCTTAATATATTCTCATGTAAACAAATATCTGTCTACATGTTTGCCTATAATTTCCTGTAGAACACTGACTTAAAGAATCTAGTTTTTAAAAAAGAGTTGTAATATCTATAGCTATATTTTCAATGTATAGCAACACCATGGACAGTTGGCTCCATAATGTTTTCTCAGCTGTTATCTTCACAAAATCAGACCATCACCAAATCTTCCTACTAAGGGGAGGCTGGTGGGTGTGGCCTTCTAACCTTCCGATTAGCTGTCAAGTTCTTAACTTTTATTTCTAGGGCTCCTTTTTCTTCGCTATAAAATAGAAGTTTGACAGCAAATATTACAGGGGGGGGGTTTCTAAACTATATGCATTTATCCAACAACTTTTCTATGAACAACTTTTTCTATCACTATTTATTTTATATTAGGGATATAGAGATAGAAGAGTCACAGTTCTCAAAACTTCAGTTGTATGAAGACAGAATTATAACACAGTGTAAATGCTCTAAATGCTCTGGGAATCCATTGCAAGCAACATCTAGGTTAGCCTGAGGAGTCAGGAAAAGTATTTGGAAGGTAGTATTTGTACTGAACATGGGTCTATTTTTAAAGATATTTCTGCTAAATCTTAAAAGGTGAGTACAATAGCCATAATCACCATTATTTTAAATCTTGACAGACAGCTAATCATGCATAGCTCCGTTCTCCTAAATTCAGGTCTCTCAGAGTAACTGGATGAAACAATATGTGTAGTAAAATGGGAGGAGATTGATTCTAGAAAGGTCAAAAGTCAAAACATGAACTTCTCAGATGTTATATGCATTATTTTATTATAATCAGAGAAGCAAGGGACAGAGTTTAAGCTGTGGAATGATATATTCAAAGATTTTAGAAAAACACTTTCAAAGTCCAGACTATGATGTTACTTAGGCTAAGACTGTGTATAAAATGTCTATAAATAATGCTTAGAGTGAATAGAAAAGAGAATAAATAATATAAAACATATAGCAGCGAAATTTCGAATGTAGACATAAAGAACATAAAACAGAGATAGGAAATAGTTAAAACAAGGGATGAATGAATTGAAGACTAAAATATAAAAATATACTTTCAAGAAGGAGGTGGTGTCAAATGATAATTTAAATACATAACCAGAAAATGAAAATTATGTCTTGAATGTGGAAGTTAGTTTCATTTAAAAAGGGTTATATTTTAATAAAGCTGCATCAAATAGCATAGGTCTTAGTATATTAAAATAAACCTATTGCTGTTAATTCTGACTCATAATGACCATATACGGCAATATAGAACTGGCTTGCAGGGTCTCCAAAGTTGTAAATCTTTACAGAAGCAGTAAGTGGAATGAAATCACTAAAGAGTTGGTGGATTAAAATAAATAATCTTTCAGTTGGCAGTTGAGCACTTAACATGCTGTGTCACCAGGGATCCTATCATAGTAGATTCACTCAGTAGAAAATCACTGCTGTCGAGTTTGAACTGACTGAGTTGCTCCTCCTCTGGGTTTCTGGAGCTGTAAAGTACCCTGGCAGAGACCGACCATCTTTCTCCTATAGAGCCACTGGTGAATTCAAACTGCCAAAGACCTGGGCCTTTGGGTTAGCAGTGCAAATCCTTACAGACGAGGCTACCAGAGCTCCCTTCAGAGTAGCTTTGTAAGAAAACATTAACAAATAATTAATGGAAAGAATTTACCAAACTATCATCCCAGAGAAGTTAGTCAATTCAAAAGCAAATTTCTATTTTTGTTTTTGTTTGTTTTGTAAGGAAAAAGTAAATCTTACCAGTTCCTTAGACAAGTAATCCGCCAGAGTATTTAAAAGTTTATAGTACACTTCAAACCAGGGCAAATAACTGTAAAGAGAAAAAAAAGTCATTTAAAAAGGTTAGGTGTGACTGAAAATTCTGAGTCAATTAGATAAAATAAACAGTAAATTCATAATGTTTCAAATATATAAATCCTGAAGGGCTGGAAAGAACTATATACCCTGTTGTCATTACTGTTACAGAGAAAAGTCACATGCTACCCATTACAAATTTTCATAAAGTAAATCAGAATCCAATGCTATTTTTCAAATTTTTTCATTATTAATAGTACTTTATAAAATTGTTTACTGTTACAGTAACAGCACTTAAAATCATGTAATCCTATTTCAGGAAAATTACCAAAAATACACACAGGATAAAAAAGAAGTCATTGTAATAAGATATAAAATAAAACTAATTTTAAAAGCTATCTTTTTCAGAGTTCTTGTGGCCTACTGGCAAGAAGCTGCACTACAATTCCAGAGGCGCTGGTTCAAATCCACCAGAATCTCTGCTGAAGAAGAGGGGGCAATCTCCTCCTGAACCAGTCAGAACCGATTTGATGGCACACACACACAAAAAAAGTAAAATAAAATATTTTTTTTAAAAAGCTATCTTTTTCATCTTTTTAAATAAGGTAAAAAATTACCTCTTGCAAAGACTACTGAATAATATAACTTAGTCAATTCATAACAAATTTATTTTTATTGGTTTTCATATATAATCATTCATATACATTGTACTTCATTCATATACCTTGTGGCTTATAAAGACATTTGCATACTTCGTGCCTGATAGAATTAATCACTATTGATCAATGCCTTTTTTGTAATTCATATACTTTGTGTTTTATACATTTAGTTATATATCTTTGTAAAAAAGAGCTAAAGCCATGTGGAGACAGCCATATCTGACCTTTACCAACTCCACAATGGGGAACCGAAACTGTCAGCAATATCAACAACACAAAACCAATCCCCATAAGATCAGATATGTCCCTCATACTCCCAGCACCTCTTTCTACTCATCTCAACTCTAATTTTATTACTCTACTGGGTATAAAATTTGATATGATAGCAAGTCAAATGGTAGCAATTCAGGTTGGCAGCAAATCATACAGTCATATGCAGCTCCTGAAATGTGCTTACAGGCGCCTTAGCTTTGAGTCCCAAGTTTAAGCCACTGTTACACAGTTCACATTCCTGCCCATTATGGCTGTCTTCCCCCAGTCCTATCCCTACCCAGTTGTCCAGCAAACTTGGGCAAAGGCTCCTAGTTGGGCAAAACCTTCCTAGGTTTCATGGAGGAGCAGACACAAATTCCACTCCATCTCACATCAGGTCTCTGGTTCACTGCTGCTGCTGCTGTAGGCCCTGCCCTGAATGGCACAGATTCTCTTGCTTATTCATTGCTGGTGATGAGGTTCTCTAATTCTGCTGCTATATACATGCAACCTAATGGCAAGACAAGCCAACCTACTTGTGGACTGGCAAGACTAGCCAGTACCCTAGAGGATAAGCTAGCATGCCCTATTCACGTATTCTTGTCCATCCACATGGCAAAGTCAGTCAATGGCTAGAGAAATCATTTAGAAAAATAAACCCTTAACTCCACAACTTATGTTTTGTATAATTAATTACATTTTCCTCCCCCTCTTTCTTATACCCCATTCTCCTCTTCTAAACAGGTATACATATCCTGTTCCTACTTGCTAATATAAATAGCCATATTGTCCTTTCACTAATTCTTCCCAGTTGATCCTACCATTTCCTGATCTCTTATGGCAAATTTCAAAACAAGCATCAGTGCAAAAAGCATAAATTCTGTATTTCTAATGGTTTTCCATTGACTAAATAATGGTAAAATTCATTTTTATTAACTTTGCCACTTAAGAACACAGTTACTTTAAAAAAAAACACAGTTCATTTCTATGAATGTTAAATTACTAAACTCAAAATTACTTGTATGAATTAGATGTGTATAATTTTAAAATTAAGGTATTAGTAGATATAGAATCTGTCCACATTTCTTAATTAAATGTTTATTATATGACTTTACTTTTAAGAACTAAATAGGTAAGAACATTGAGACCAAAGTTTATTAGTGCTACCAGGAGTGGGCAGGACAGAGGAGGAAAGGAAGCACAATGCGCACAGGACAGTGAACTCATGTTAATGCTCAAGGAGAGCAGGTGACAGCTGAATAACAAAAACATACATAAGATTACTTAAATGTGCACATAAAGATTCTTGAAATGGCAAATAATACTATCACATATATATTCTCTACAGGGAGATATGGTGGCTTGCTGGGAAAGGAGCTGTGCTGTCAACACAAAGGCAGGCTGTTTGCACCCACGAGCTGCTCCATGAGAGAAATGGGAAATTTCCCCCCTTGAAATTAACAGCCTCTGAAAAACTGCTCAAGGGTCAGCTATGAGACAGTTCTGACTCAAAGGCAATAATTTGTTGAGTTTATATATTTACCAAATCAATAAAAATTTATAAATATAGACTTTTCAAATAAAACAGGAAAATATTATTTTTAAAAAGCTCTCAAGGTCAGTTATTATTTACAAACTCATATTTCTCTTTTAAAGTATTAATAAATTTATATACTCCTGATAAGAAATATTAGGATACTTTGATTTCACAATTGCAATTGAGATGCATGCCTATAAGGTGGACTTAAAACGTAGAAACTAATTAGGAGAGCTTGGAAAAACAGAAGTCTCTCTGTATTTGTCTATATAATGCCTGATTTATCAGTATTTATCACTGAAGATGTCTTCTGAATCAGAAACAACCTAAATTCATGACAACAAAAGAACTATCAGGTCAATTACAGTATCTTTATTCATCCAGATATTATAGAGTTCTTAAAAATTATAATTACAAATATTAATTAATGATATGGGCGCTCTGGTAGCCTATTCTGTAGGCACTGGTGCAGCCAAAGCAAAGTCACACTACTCTTTGGCAGTTCAAATCTACAAGTGGCTCTGAGGGTGGAAAAAAATGGGCAGCTTCCTCCTATGAAATTTACAGCCTCAGAAACCTAAGGGTCAGCTATTAGTCAGTTCCAACTTCATGACAATGAGTTGTGGGGCTTTTTTTTTTTTAAGTAATGATAAGGAAGATGTGTGTGATACTTAGAAATATCAAGCTATAATTTCTTGTTTAATGTTATACATTTAATCAATGTATTAATTTACCTCTTTGCTCTCTGGCAACCCCCCAAAAATGACAGTAAATTAATAAAAACAGCGTAAATTGATGAAGACATGGAGAAATTGAGAAGAAAAACCAAAAGAGGGTATCTCAGGTGAGTGGTCTTTAAAGATGTAAGGAAATTAAAAATTGCTATACTGGCAGGAAAAAAAAAAAAAAAAAACACCTAAAGCCTAAACCCAACAGAAAAGAAAATGACCAGCTGTAGGTAGATTTGTCCTCGCAGTATCCTAAAATACTGTCTTGGGAATCACTCAAAGGAAGAAACATTTCAAAGCCCCTTTTTCTTGGAGTGAAGCCCATCACTCCACATGGAATGTTTCCAGTTAAGTACTCATTCATTCAAATTAAATATAAATAAACACTCCATCTAACAGGTATTTGAGAAAATACAGACATCAACACAAACATAAAATCAACACCACAGAAATAAACACAAACATAGAAGAGAACTTCAAAATGCTAACAGTTAATATCCTTAAGAAGCTGAAACAAGGACCATGGTGTTAGCAAACAACATCCAAGTCAATATTTAGTTGGCTGAGTTTCTATAGAAATTGACTTAGAAAGATCAACAACCATTTAAAGTTATTCATGTCATTTTTAAACTATCAAGTCATTACAAAATAAATTAGCACAGTAAATTTTCTGTATTCATTATAACACAATGGAATAATTTTCATCAAAAATCACCTTCTAGCAAGACACACTATAGTGCCTTCTAGGTGCAATTTCCTTCATTTGTAGTCACTTCAAACACATATTTTAACTTTTAATAGCTTGAACAGTTATTATTTCAAGACAATTTCAGTGTGTCATGAAGTCAGATTAAGACAATCCACTCAAACATCCTTGTCTATTTCTTACTCTAAAGAATCTGTTGCTATTATGTGCCGTTGAGTTGCGTGCGATTCATAGCAACCCTATGTACAACAGCCCTGAACCCTGCTCTATCCTAAGCTGACCTCACTGTCTCTGACACAGCTACCATAATTACTCGAGTCACTGAGTCAATCCATTTCATCCAGGGTCGTCTTCTCTTGAGTTTTCCCTTCACTCTTTCAAGAATGATGGCCCTCTCCAAGAAATGGTTCCTCCTTGCAACATAGGCAAAGAATATCAGCTGGAACTTCAAAATCCCTGCCTCTAAGAGGCAGCCTGGTTTCACCCTCTCTAGGATGAACCTGTTTGTTCCACGAGCAGTCCAAGAATATTTAGGTTAACCAAAATACATTCATTTTAGCTGACTGCGTAAAGTTAATTCTTTTCTGGTCCACTACAAACTTATTTTAAAAAAGAAATAACTCACAATTATGCAACTACAAGGTGAGAAATATTTTTATTTGTTGTTGCTCCTACTACATTTTTTCCCTCTAGGAAAGCCTCTTTAAATAAATGTTCTGGTTTTCCATTTTTTATGGGTTTTTTTTTTTCAGAGCTATCCTCTTTGCTCAATTTCCTTTTAAATTGTGAAGATAAATCAGATCCTAAATGTCATTAAGAAACAAATCACTGCTCAATCTGTGGGTTCTTGCTGTTGTGTATCTGAGTCGACCTAAAGCTGACCCTCAGGCGACTGATCAGGGGCAGTAAATCACATGAGAGGAGAGTGCCCATCCTTCTCCTGCAAAGCAGCTAGTGGGTTCAAACTGCTTATCTTTGCACTGGCATTGTAATATCTTACGACTAAGCCACCAGAGCTCCTTCAATTTGTTGGTACAAATATTGTTTTCCAAAGTGATCAACAAATCAATACACATTAAGCACATACTTAGCTTTCTTTTTATCATTTAATAATTGTGTTGGGCATACTGGTAT